GATTCAAGCGGCACAAATAGGTGGACAAGTCCAACCAGCAGCATCAAGTTATGTGACACAAAATGTGCCCCACACCTTCCAGGGTGGGATTACTAAAAGTGTATGTTTGTGAGAATGCAGAGTAGACCATGGACGCTCGCTGCTGTCGCCGTTTTATCAGATTATCCCAGAATGTTTGTGTATATGCAGCTTTTCAGGCATTTATTTTTACTGTGTTTAATCTCTCCTCAGGATATCTTCCTCACGTATGACAAGGACAAAACTCAGCGCCTCGAATATCAGGAGGTCATGCCCTCACTGAAAGCAGCAGGTAGCACTCACAACACTTTTTCATCCTGTGTCATTTAACCGCTGAGGGTCTCCATCGGTCGATAAAACTCCGACCAGCAGAGGGAGCCAAACACCTTTTTTGCTCAACGTGTGATCCTAAAAGGGTCACATGTTTGGTCACATATGTAACTAAAGTCCTGTGTTTCCCAAGTCGTCACATTAGTCAAACATTTTTGCACCATTAAAGTTAAATTAATTAATAAGCAGACAGTTTTGATTACATGAAAACACAAAAACACAAACGTTTTGGTTCATCACTCATACGTCACTCAGACGGGAGCTGCCTAATGGACTGGCTGGAATCAGGGAAACGAGCGTGCGGTCATATATGTCACCTGTGCACATGTGAAGTTTATTGCAATAAAAACAGGTATCCCACCCAGTGCTTCTGCACCTGCGTTTTACCCCCACCTCTGCTCCATCTGTCCCTGCTGCAGGCATCTGGGTGGACAAGTTGGTGATGCAGCTGGTCGGACTGAGATACACGGAGCTGGACATGACCATCAGTTACCCCGGCTTCCTGTACCTGCTGATGAAACTGGAGAGCATGATCCGTAAGAGGGGGTGAACGCATGGCGGGGTGGGGGTGCAAGCATTGTTACAGCTTTCTGTCTTTCAGAGGAGATGAATGGTGTAAATTAGAAACAGCAAGTGGTTTTAATCACCATATTTGCTGGTAAGTGACACCACAAGGCCACGAGAGAAAGAAGCAGAGGATGACAGAGGAGCGAGAGAGAGAACGGATGAGGTGACAGACAGGGCTGCCACAATTAGTCGACTAGTCACGATTACGTCGACAATCAAAATCGTCGACGACTGATTTAATAGTCGACGCGTCGTTTGAAGCTTTGTAAGATCACAAAAGACGCAGGAATAAGTAGTAGGATTTAAGAGTGTAAT